GAAATGGGGCGGGGGGTGGGGAATAGCAGTGGAGGGAGAAGTTGAGGGGAAAACCTTTCCTCTCCTCTCATTTATAGCCAAAAGGATAGATCTCATCAAGTAGATGAGAAGAGAAAATGACTCATCTGAGCAAGTAGGATATTTGGCTTCTCATCCAAGAAGCTTCTGACTTGTCAGAACTGAAGACGCTTCTTGGATGAGAAGCGAAATGTCTTCAAGGAAAATCAAAATCATCCAGTTGGCTTTTGAAAAAGGACCTTTGGGACAACCATGACCTGGATGATTGAGAATCTCCAGAGATATTTCCAGTTCTTCTGCACTCTGACTCATTTGAGCTTAGCAGGAAAAGCGCTGCTGCCTGAGTTCCTACAGCATTGCTAACCAAGGGGTTTTTTTTTTCATGGTCCCTCCTGGAAGCCCCTTCCTTGATTTTCTTGCCTTTCAGTTTACCCTCTACTTGCCCAGATGAATCATTTCCCCTTCTCATCTACTTGATGAGGCCTATCCTGTTGGCAATCAGTGAGAGGAGTGGAAAGGTTTTCCCCCCTCTCACTGCTATATGTTTTTTTAATTGGTTCTTCTAAGTGAAGACAGATCTCATAACGCAGAGAAGAAAATGGGTGCTGAATCACTTGGGGAAGCCTTGAGGAAAATATGATGTCTGACTTGAATTAGCAGCAACTTTCCTTCTTCTCATTGCTCCCATTACCTCAAAATTCTTTCTGCCGCAAAGTGGCAAATTGCATTTTTTCTCTACGTTGCAGAGATGTGAAATGAGAGATGCAGGAAGCTTTGATGACTAATGTCGCCAAAGCTTCTCTGATCCAGCACATTATTGGGGAGCTCATTGGCCAGGAAGGGGGCACCATGAATGGCCTTTTAATAAAATTAATTAGAAAGGTGGGAGAGAGTTGCTGTGGAAGAGATGTATTTTCCATTAATTCAAAAATGTATGTAACATAGAGTTGTCATTCATAAAAAAGTTGGACTTTTTGTTCCTTCAAAAGTTGTTGAGGTGTTAGATTGAGCACCACCTCTCTAGAGCTTCTTTTATCCAGAGTCATTTCTATACTATGTTGATTGTAGCAGAGGTGGCAATCAGCAGGTTCTGGCCAGTTCTGGAGAACCAGTAGCGGAAATTTTGAGTAGTTCAGAGAACCAGCAAATACCACCTCTGACTGGAGATTTTACAGTATCCTTCCCCTGCCACGCCCACCAAGCCACACCCACCGAACCGTTAGTAAAAAAAAATGAATCCCACCACTGGTGACTAGGATGGGTGTTTTATTTAAAAAACACATATATATCACCTAGGAAACTTGTTCAGCTTATAATGGGGCCTGACAATGATTCACTGTTTAATTATAACAGTTACTAATACACATTGCACACATTAAAATGGGTTTGGTTCCAAGAAGTAACTAGTGTCAACATCCCGTATTTCACTATTAATTATTGTACATGTAAGTAGCAAAAGAAATGGTAAGTCTGCTTAATTATTAAAACCTTTTATACAACATAAATAATATTTAGTTTATGTCAGCATAATGAGTAAATACATCATGTAAGCCAGCTTTTCTTATTATAGGCACACATAGTGCATTTTCTACATCCCTTTTTGCCCAGCCTCCCTTCCCTGCTATATATTTCGTATGGCACCTGCTCCCAAGCAGGGGTTACCCTTCTGGGCTTCTCATCCTGGGTAGCTTAGAGATAGTGCTCTAATTTTCCTTTCACAAAGCACATAAGGACATTTTAAGAAAAGCTGGAGAGATGTAGCCTCCTCAGCGTCACAGTGAATACCAACTAAGCCTAGGGCCAGTTGCTAAAGTGGTTTAGGCAGCCAGTATCAGCAGTAGCTAAGGCTGTGCCTAGAGGCAGCACACTTAGCAAATGTATTTATTTTATCAAATTTCTATGCCCCACACACTAGTGAGACTCTGGGCAGTTTACAGATAAAAAAAGTAAAATCGTAGGAAAGCTATAATTAAAAACAAAGTTAAAACCCAGACTAAAAACAGAGTTTAAAAAGAACAATTGCAGAGTTAAAAGGCAGAGGAAGTGCCTTCAGACCACCAACCATTCCCAGGGTTGCATGGTACGCTTAGAACCCCAGGCTGGTTGCCAGAGCCAGGTCTTCATGCTGTTTCAGAAGGCTAAAATAGTGAGGGAGGAGCCTCCCTTGCTTCTGGGAGCAAGCTGCCCCGTAGAGTGGGTGCAATGGCAGAGAAGGTTCTTTTCCTAAAACCTGTATGCAGAATGTCAGAATTATGTATTATACTCTCTCTCTCTCTGTGTGTGTGTGTGTGTGTGTGTGTGTGTGTGTGTTATTCAGCTTTGTTCAGGTATTTTCCCACATCATTATAGTTGTGCTTTTAAAGTTGTAGTGACGTTTCAGCAGAATCTCATCTGCCATCATCAGGCTTGTGTATTGGGTTCGTCTGTGTGTCAGGCTTTCACAGCCATTTCTGTTTTAAATTTGGTGCTAGCCTCCTGCTGTGTTAGAACCAAATTTAAAAGCACCAAATTTCTAATAAAATCTCTTATAAAAGAGATTTTCTAGCTTGGCGATATGTCTTCTTCTTGTTCTCTATATCTCTTCTTGAGGACAGAACAATATTGTTTAGAGCATCGGCTCCCATCTCTGCTATCAAAAGTTTTACTGTGCAGTAATATTTACAAAGGAAAGTTGAAGATTAGAAGATCATGGGTTCAGGTTTGTCATCCTGGGTTCTAGCACATTAATTACATAATCAAGTAAGATAGAACATCTGGTTTCTTTCAACATGAAACAAAACAATTGTTTGCCCAAATCCTGTGTGTAATATACACTGCTCAAAGAAATAAAGGGAACACTTAAACAACACAATGTAAATCCAAGTCAGTCACACTTCTGTGAAATCAAACTGTTCACTTAGGTAGCAACACTGATTGACAATCAATTTCACATGCTGTTGTGCAAATGGAATAAACAAAAGGTGGAAAGCATAGGCAGTTAGCAAGACATCCCCAATAAAGGAGTGGTTCTGCAGGTGATGACCACAGACCACTTCTCAGTTCCTATGCTTTCTGGCTGATGATTTGGTCACTTTTGAATGCTGGCGGTGCTTTCACTCTAGTGGTAGCATGAGACGGAGTCTACAACCCACACAAGTGGCTCAGGTAGTGCAGCTCATCCAGGATGGCACATCAATGCAAGCTGTGGCAAGAAGGTTTGCTGTGTCTGTCAGCATAGTGTCCAGAGCATGTAGGCGCTACCAGGAAACAGGCCAGCACATCAGGAGACGTGGAGGAGGCCGTAGGAGGGCAACAACCCAGCATCAGGACTGCTACTTCCACCTTTGTGCAAGGAGGGACAGGAGGACCACTGCCAGAGCCCTGCAAAATGACCTCCAGCGGGCCACAAATGTGCATGTGGCTGGTCAAACGGTCAGAAACAAACTCCATGAGGGTGGTATGAAGGCCCGACGTCCACAGGTGGGGGGTTGTACTTACAGCCCAACACCGTGCAGGTCATTTGGCATTTGCCAGAGAACACCAACATCGGCAAATTCGCCACTGGCACCCTGTGCTCTTCACAGATGAAAGCAGGTTCACACTGAGCACATGTGACAGACGTGACAGGGTCTGGAGACGCCGTGGAGAACGTTCTGCTGCCAGCAACATCCTACAGCATGACTGGTTTGTCAATGGGTCAGTAATGGTGTGGGGTGGCATTTCTTTAGGGGGCCTCACAGCCCTCCATGTGCTCGCCAGAGGTAGCCTGACTGCCATTAGGTACCGAGATGAGATCCTTGTGAGACCATATGCTGGTACGGTTGGCCCTGGGTTCCTCCTAATGCAAGACAATGCTAGACCTCATGTGGCTGGAGTGTGTCAGCAGTTCCTGCAAGACGAAGGCATTGATGCTATGGACTGGCCCGCCCATTCCCCAGACCTGAATCCAATTGAGCACATCTGGGACATCATGTCTCGCTCCATTCACCAACGCCACGTTGCACCATAGACTGTCCAGGAGTTGGGGGATGCTTTAGTCCAGGTGTGGGAGGAGATCCCTCAGGAGACCATCCACCTCCTCATCAGGAGCATGCCCAGGCGTTGTAGGGAGGTCATACAGGCACGTGGAGGCCACACACTACTGAGCCTCATTTTGACTTGTTTTAAAGACATTACATCAATGTTGGATCAGCCTGTAGTGTTTTTTTCCACTTTAATTTTGAGTGTAACTCCAAATCCAGACCTCCATGGGTTGCTAAATTTGATTTCCATTGATAATTTTTGTGTGATTTTGTTGTCAGCGCATTCAACTATGTAATGAACAAAGTATTTAATAAGAATATTTCATTCATTCAGATCTAGGATGTCTTATTTTTGTGTTCCCTTTATTTTTTTGAGCAGTGTATTTTTGTGCCTTTAGCTCAGGTTCTAGATTGGGAATAGAGATGATACTGCCAAGTTTACAAAGAAAATGGCTTAGTTTAATAGGCCTTTTGCAAGGTTATACTTTTTAATATATTAAAGTCAGAAAATAACATATGATACATATGGTCATTCTGCTTGAAATTTTGGTTTGGCTAATTTTTCAGAATAAAATTATTTTATCTTCTCTTTTTAAACCAAAATCTTCACTATCAACAGTAATCCCTTTTTTTTGAAAACAGCTTTCATTTTTAAGGCTGGAATGTAGGGATTTTGATGGGGTTTTTTTCTTAATGAAAGCTTGCATCCATGGTTAGATGAAAATATGTTTTTGTTGAAGTGTCCCCAGTTTCAAATGCATTTTACACTAAAATTCTAAACTATATGTTTCTAAATGTAAACCTTTTACTTTCTAGATCATCACACTGTATATTCAATTTTTTTTAATTTTCAGTTTTAATGGGTGATTGAAACTGATGGATTGAGTTACATTCTGCTTTCAAAGACTCTTGTTTCAAACTTTAAAAATCTTTACCTGATGCCAAGCAGATTCACCTGTCAAATAATTGTCTTTGAAACAGGTTCTATCTGATTAGTGGAGGAGTTCCTTTTATTATCTGTGGAATTACTGCAGCAATCAACATAAATAATTATGGGGTAAAACATTACGCCGGAGCTCAGTTGTAAGTATATCCCTATATTTTCCATGTACGACACCACTGTTATTTCCTCTAAGAATAAGCCATGATTAAATAACTTTCAGTCTGGAACCATAGAGCCTAATCCAGGATCCCTGTCAGATTAGTTACTCCCTATCAACATGTGGGTTTTGTCATTTTTTAACATTATGTATTATAATCTGCACACAGCCTATGCTGCAAGTTAATTATGGTTTTTAATGTTTATAAAGTAAACTTATGAATGCACGAGGAGACAACACCTGTGTAGAAATCCATCCATTTCTTCTAAAAGAGTACTGAACTGAGTACTAAGAAGTACCACAGAGGCATTAATAAATTGTGTATTACAATATTTTGGTATCATTTAAGGAAAGCAAGTATTCCCATATTTCTAGAAAAGCTGAGGAAGTAAAGCAAACTGTGTTTTTCCTTCATGGAAATACTTTTAGGAAATTTCATGTGAGAAAAACGGAAGAACTCCAGCAGATTAAAGAGAGCAAAACTCTTCTGGAAGTCCTACCCTATTAAAACCTATTTATTCCATCACATGTGATTAGACAATCACTTATAATCAACAGGGTGTTAAAAGAACTGATTATTTATGTTCATAAATTTGTGGGAGACTTTCCTGCCAGCACTTTTACAGATGTTGTGCTACTTTAGTTTAATCACTTTAATCACAGGCAATCAATACCAGATATCACAATACAGGTAGAAAACCAGGAAGCAGATGGAGGGAGGGGTAAAATTGCTCAGGGAGAGAGAGAGAAAAAGGTAGACTAAGTCACAGCACTGTGTCTTGTATGCCTTATTCATTTTTCACAACATACAAATGTAGACCTTCCAACTTCTGTGTGCTTTTATGGAGCTAAGTTTTGAAGTGGCCTGTGATGAAAACCCTTTTGAAGATACCACTGACCTAACAATTCCATTGGCTCTCACTTCACCTTACTTGCTATGTACTGTGAAGTTCTTGAAAGGCTTTCAGGATAGCTAGGGATTGTCTTGTGTGTCTGTTGTTTTCTTCTTACAAAACAAGAGAACTCTTCTGAGAAATCAAAGGAAGCTGTTAATATTTTATGTGTTAGTGAGAAGTGCTTGAGAGCACAGAAATTCAAATAAGGCCGCACCGCACAACCTGAAAGGTACATGTGAGCATCTACTAAATCAGCTCAGAGTTTATCCCCTTGTTCATCCAAGCACCTAGAAAGCAGAGCCTCTGTAAGGGACCAAAATCCAGATGCTTGGCCACTGACTCACATTTATGATGGTTGCAGTGTCCCAGGCTCATGGGATCCCCTTCTGCAAGTTTCTGACAAGCAAATGGGGAAACTACCATGTTTCTCATATAATAAGGCCGGGTCTTATTTTATTTGGAGCCCCGAAAAAACGGCTAGCCCGTCTTTTCGGGGGTGACTTAATTCCACTCCCCTTGCATCTTAGGGCGGGCGGGCGGTGACGGCGGCTTGGATGTTGACCTCGGCGTTGGTGGAGCACTTTGTATCAGGGTCAATGCAGGCAGCACCATATCCAGGTGTGCAACAAAAGTACTTCCTAACAGCAAGCCCCCCCAGCCATTTCCCCCCCATTTCGCATGTTTTAATATAGGCCTTAATTTGGGGGGAGGGGCTTAATTTCATTTCATGCCTATAAAACATGCTGGGACTTCCTATTGGGGGAGGCTGTACTGTTGGAGAAACAGGGTAGATTCACGTGTTATTAGTTTAACAACTGTGGCGATTCATTCAACAACTGTGTCAAGAAAAGTCATAAAATGGGGCAAAACTCACTTAACAAGTTTCTCACCTAGCAGCATAAATTTTGGGCTCAATTGCGGTCGTAAGTTGAGGACTCCCTGTAAGTATGAATTATTTTCATAATTATGCAGTGTATGAATTATTAGACTTGGTGCTTAGAAGAAGAATATAGTTGCACAGCACTGTAATAACAGTAAAGATTGTATCATGGTACCCTAACTAGGGAAGGCATCTTAAAATCAGGGGGCTATCACTGAAAAAGCCCCATTCCAGCACCGCCACTCACTTACTATCCTTCCCCAGTGGAAATGTTTATGGGTAGTACTCAGTTTACAACGAGTCACTTAACATATATTCAAAGTTATGAAGGACCTCCCCGAAGCTACTTACAACTCGTTTCCAAAGATACAGTGACCACACCCATCCAAGGTCATGGGATCACACTTTGGGCACTTAGCAACCAATTCGGTTTTACAGCTGTTTTCAAGCATTCCACAGTCCCTTGACTGCGATTCACAACTTTTTCACCAGTTCCACTGTTCACTTCTGGTTTCTAGCAAAAAAACACCCACCGTGAAAAATGGATTTGCTTAACAACTGCAGCATTCACTTAAGGACCGCTGCATTTGCTAAACGACTACCACAAAAAATGTCAAATATTCAAGTTTGGTCACATGGGGCTTCAACTTACAACTGCAACAACCTTATGACCTTAATTTTGGATTCGATTACAGTTATAGATTGAGGACGACTTTTAAAGGATTGTTTAAGTTCATATATTACTTTGTCCAGCTTTGGGCACAGGGTTGGTGGATACAGACTTTTGTTCTTCCAGGCTCCTGTATGTTAACTCCTCCCCTCCTTTACATTAGCTGAGAAGAGTCTGCTTCCTCCACTTTTCTACACAAAAGGGGAGGTTTCAGCAATCACACTGCCAAAAAACAACAACCCCTACGCTAGTGGCTCTGAGTAAACACCATTTCCCGTCTTTTTGTTGATTGGAATCAAGAAGAGAATTTAAATGGGGATTGTAGAGAGGGGAGAGACAGAGGATGCAAGTGACAAAGTATGTGTTGCAGAATAAACCTGCCATGCCTACCATACCTGTGTCCAATGTCCACAAATGTGAAAGGGCAGAGTTAGGGTTGTGATGTTGCAATGCACATTCCATCATTGTTTTATCATTGGGGTTTGTATCACATACCTATGAGTGAGCAAATCTCTAAACATCCGCAATTTGTTCTCTGTGGATGCGTTCTTATTTGACAATAGACCGTGAGGTAATTTTATTAGCTGTGTTTCAAAACCAGAGTATTGGATTTGGTATCTAGAGAGCTGTAATGAAAACTTATTTTCTTGTATGATACGAGAGCCAGTGTGATGTGGAGATTAAAGGGAGTTTTACATTTACCTCAGACACTGAGCTCACTGGGGGGATCTCTGCAACAGGCCGAGATCCTATCAAAAATGTTACTTAAAATGTCAGTTTTAAATGCTGTGCTACTGGTAAAAACTAGATGAGTATTACAAGTGGTCATCAACTTGAAGTTAGAACTGGGTCCCAAATTTCCATTGCCAAGCAAGGTGGTTGTTAAGTGAATCATGCCTGAACTTATAACCTTTTTGCCATTTGCTGTTAAGTGAATCCTGCAATCATTAAGCAAATCCTTCTTCCCCCATTGACTGTGAAGGTTCAGTCATCCATTGTCTCAAAGGTTCGTTTTAAAAAGGCAACTGGACTTTGTTTTTCCTTGAGGCAGACATTTTGCTTCTCATCCAAGAAGCTTCTTCAGTTCTGACTGAATGGTGGGGGTACGGGGAATACGGAAAGCTTTATATTCCTTTGCAGTCATCTGGTCTTTAGCATTCTCTCTGGAAG